GCCAGCCAGGTCACACACAACCCAGGTGATCCCTGAAGCACCACTGGGACAGCGAGGGGCTGAGCTGTTGTATCACCCAAATACCTGAAGCTGAGATTCAAGCCTGGGTTTAGATCCCAGCCCTGTACCTGCCGTCATCCTCCCGAAGCTCAGTTTCGTCCCTGTCAAATGGGAATCACCACCCCAATGCACAAGGCAGCTGAATCCACGGTTCTCGGCATCTGACGGGTCCATTGATAGATATGCCCTGTCCCCAGAGGATCTGTATCGGTCAGTGGCCAGCCAGCGACACCTGCCAAGCCCTTGTGTTTCAGACGAAGCTGAGCAAGTCAAGCCCTGTCCAGCGGGCCTCGGGGGCTTCCGACAAAGAACTGGGATGACAGAGCCTCTAGGCAGAGGAAGGGTCAGAGAGAATTCTGGGATTCCTGGAGCCTTGAAAAAAGCAGCAGGCTGGTTTTACAAGATAATTGGAAGAAATAGTCCCCGAGGAGCATCCCTCAGCCAGCCCGGGGCACCTCTGCCTCCTGTGGGCTGAAGAAGCGCACTGGAACAGCGCCTGTCCCCTCTTCCTCTCAAGGGAGGATGGAGGGGTGCCCGCTGGGCTGGGGTGCACAGCCTGGTCAGTCCCACCCTCCGCCGGCGTGAGCCGAGGAAACACACAGCGGACGCTCCCCTCTCCTCCCCCTCTGGTCTTCAGCTGCCTCAAGTCCAGCTAATCCCATTACAAGAAAATAAAGTGGATAATTCAGGCTAATGAAATCGTTAGGAGAATGTGGCCAGCCAGAGGTGGACATTCAGAACCAATTTACCACCCTTTGGAGTCGTTATCCTCAGTACAGGAAATGTTGAAAACGAGGAAGGACAAAAATTAAAGAGAGGGAGAGAAAAAAAACAACCTTCTCGGCCTCTTTCTTGTTAGCTTAAGCCTGGCTAAAGGACGATCGGCCACATCTCTTGCTCTTGGCTGCTGTGTCCATCATGCCCGACAGCCACACGGGAACTCTAGAAACTCCCAGAAACAGCGAAGGAGACCCAGGAGGCCAGCAGGCGTGGTGGGCGTCGCGGTCACTTGCTGCCTTTTTCTCTGCCCACACCCCCGCTCTGGGGCCGCTCTGAGGGGAGCAGAGAGGCGACAGCGGGGCCTGCACATCCACACCAGGTCATGGGCCTCCAACACCGGACCACCCTGTCCCTGGGATCTCCATGAAGCAGGAGCTCCAGAAAGCTGAAGAGCCCTGTGGACGGAGAGGCAGGAGGGGCTGCTGAAGTGAGCTTTGACGCACAGGAGCCGGCAGAGGGCCTGATGGTTATGTTACTGGACGCCCCTCTGGCCCACTGTGGTGTGAGTCCCTGACTGGTGGCTTGAACTTCACACGGGAGGTTCAAGAGGAAGGGACTGCGGTGTGGCCATCCCCCCTGGAGGGGAGACTTTTCACTTTCCCGCTCACTGTCTCTGTCTCTGGTGAGTGCTCACACTCCAAGGCAAAACAAAACAAAACAAAACAAAACACCAAAAAAGCTCTCTAAAAAAAAAAAAAAACAGCTCAGGGTGAGGCAGGGGTACCATGCGGGTACACCCCTGCCAGTGCCCCCCGCCTCCTCATGCCACCGCTGAGGTGACCTCAACTTCCCAACACTTGCTGTCTCCACGTGGTGCCACTCCCTCCCTCCCCTGCCAACACAGAAGGGGCCCTGTCCGCTTCACTTCTCTCTTCTCCTTCCGGTATGTATCTCCCATGAGTGGGAGACAGAGACAGCAACCTGATGCCACGATCCGCCCCTCCCTCGGCCAGTCCTGGATCACAGGTACGCGTGCTTCCCTGAGTACTCAGGGGGACACTGACCGGCTCAGCCCCGCGGGACGCTGCGTTTTCCCACTGTGCCACTGTCCAGTCCCTATAGCTTCACTTCTCCTGGATCCACCGCGCTGCTCAGACCTTCACGAGGACGGATGGCACAGACCCAGAAATCTCGAGTGGATTCGTATCAACCCTGCGCTGCTCCCGGGCCACCCGTGGCCCTTTCGGTGACCCAGATCCTCCCAGGGAGGAGACGCGGAGTGCAAGTGGACGAGACTAGGAGGATGTGAGGGAAAGGGGAGGAGCGAGATCTCATGCACGGGGAGGGCCTCCGCTGAGCACGCTCGGTTTATGGGGGTCTCAGGGTTCACACATGGACGGGCAGAAAGTTCTAGCCACTGCGGGGGTCAGAAAAGTCCCTACCAGTGGTCTCCCCACCGAGTGCCAAGCAGCGACGGATTATCACAGACGCCATCATCATGTACTGACCAAGAGCGAGGTTCCCCTGGGGAGATTCAAGATGTGTGATGGGGTGGCTGTGCTGCTGGGGTGCTGGCCTCCCTAGAGAAGCAGGACACCATGCACCTCAACACCCAGACCAGTCAGGGCGGTTTCTGAGAGCACCTCTGTGAAAGGGGTGCTCAGGGGCCAGCAGGTGGCGTGGTGGTTAAGGCACTGGACTCCCACATGACTGACTGTGGTTTGAGTCCTGGACCTGGGGGCTTCCTGTCTCACTTTCCCTCTATCTTTCTCTGGTCAAGTTATAATAAAGAATAAAATTATATACGATAACTCTTTTTTTTAATAAAAAGGTGTCTGGCACACGGGCCTCAGTTTGCTGATCAGCTCTGGGAAGAGACCAAAAAAATTCAAAACGTGATATTGAAAGAAATGAAAAGAACACAGTGACCTGCTACGTGGTGTGGCAGGAGAGCAGACACCCCTCCACAGCCCCGACCGGAACCCCGGTTCCCAGCCTGGGATCAGCGTCCCTTGCATAGGCACAGTTAGGCACTCTGAAAAGATCTGGATGATCAACCTTTTCATTTTTTTTAAAGAGAGATTTCCACTACAGGGCAGGTATGCTCGCCATAAAGACAGAGAGAGACAGAGAGACAGAAAGCGAGAAATCACCCCCCGGGGGGATGGCCACGCCGCAATCCCTTCTCCTACTCTCCTCTAGGGATTTTGGGCACGCATGCACACGTGCCCTGTCTGAGTTTTAAGCCGCTGAGTTAGGGGCTTGAACCATGGTCGGACATGTGGGAGTCCAGCGACGTATGCCATCTGCTAGTCCCAGGATGATACCTTTTCAGAGGACTGATGCTTCCAGGGCAAGAGGGGAAAGGCCTCCTTCAGTGGTGGGACTGCTCTGTGCATTGCGGAGCCTGTTCCTAGTAGGGAGTGCTGGACCCCAAAGAGCCGAGGGCCAGGCATCTTGCCACTGGCCTGGGACAAAGAGACAGACCTATAAGCCCAGTCATGGCCCCATCAGAGGGTGGGAGCACCAGGGAGTCAGGGTGAAGGGTGGCAGCCCGAAGGCATCCCAACCTGCCCAGGCATCTGCAGGAGACTGCCGTCTGCTGTCACCCTGTGACGGCGTCCGACTACGTGCCACTGAACAGCCAGCACCCGGGACGCTGCCCATGGTGCTGGCACGCAGTGGGGGCCCAGTAAGAAACATTTGTGAGGGCCGACTGGTTGAGTCACTCATAGATGTTTGTCTTTCCTGGCTTTTCTGTTTTCTAGCTCCTCTCAGGCCCAGGTCCTCAATACCAGAAAGGAGGAGCAGGGAGCAGGGAGCAGGGAGCAGGGAGGGAGGTGGTCTTGGCTGAGTGCCAGTCCCGTGGCGGGCGGACAATGAACTGCACGTGGCCTGCCCACTACTGCCTTCACTGCAGAGCGACCCGCAGGGCAGCAGCACCCGCCCGGAGCGCATGAGACACCTGGTCCCAGAGCTCGCGTCTGGGTCTGCCAGGCTGCGGAGTACATGGACCTCCCACTCTGCCTCGTCACACTCCACTGTGGCAGATGCCCCCTTCCTGGGTTCCAGCTGGAGCCTGCCGGCCACTGGGGAGCTGCTGATGGAGGAAGTGAAGAAAGAGGCCGAGGAGGTGAGGACAGATCTGAAGAGCCTGGCATTCCAGAGGCTTCTCTCACCTGCTACTGGGAGGCCCACCCCAGACCCCCAGGGAATCAGCAAGCCCACTCCTGACGGACTGATGCTCCCCACCTGCTGGGCACAGGGACCAAGCACCCTGCTCGCGGCTGAGAAGAGGGACAGAGTGGGGTCACCATGCCTCCCTGGGACGTCCCAGGCTGACAAATCACAGTGGGAGGTGACCTCCTTTCCAGCCTAGTGGGGTGCAGACTAAGGTACCCCTCAACATCAGAGCTTCCAGAAAAGCCAGCCTACCGTGGACCTGGGTGACAGCTGAGACGCCTCTGCCGGAGACTCAGAGGCAACCGCACCACGTGGGCCGTTCCATGGAAGGCCTCGGCGGCCTCCCGGGGCAGGCATGGAGACGGGGAGCGAGGCGCTGTGATTCATGGGGCTGAGCCCGCCAGCGCGCTGCAGCGGAGAGCAGCTCGCCCCGGCGGGGACAAATGTTATTTTTAAAAGTCTGGGAAAGAAAACAACAATAAAACAACTCGGGAGTTCAGGATGGCTGGTGTGGTTTAAGATGCAGAGAAAGGTGGAAACAGAGTTTTGAGGCAGTTCGTTCGTTTGGGGCCAAACAAACCCAACACCGAACTCGCTTCACTCGTACAAGGGGAAGAGGAGGGTTAGAATCCGGTGGTCCGACACAGCCGAGGCCTACAGGGGCCTGACTTGAGTCTAGAGTCTGAGACAGAGGTGTGGGCTTGGGAAGCTGGTTCCTGGCGGCCAGAGGAAAAGGCAAGACCCGGGGTGGGGGCTGCCACTGCCAATTCCCCGGCGTGTAGCAGTGGGACGCTTTTTTCTTGGTGAGAAACCCAGTTAGAGCCAGACAGGATGGAGGGTGTGGGAAGACCAAGGAGCCCGAAGCAGGAGAGGGAGGAAGAAAAGTCAACAATCTTTCTGCCGTGGTGGAGAGCGGGAGGCCCCCCGTCTGCCAGGAGCACTGTTTACAGAACATCGTCTGCAAAGTTCGGAGGAGGGGAAGTGAAATGCTCCAGTCTCTGGCGAAGCACAAAACCCTGGGTGGGCTCTTCTCCCTGCAGAAGCATCCTCTCTGCAGCAGGAGAAGGGGCCGCTGGTGCAGATCCCGGCTGGGCCTCCCTGTCCTCACCGCCCCCTCTCCGTTCCATTTGGAAGGCACAGAAGTGTGGCCACAGCTTTCTCCGAGGCCTGTGGTGACGCACGCCTTGGGGGTGAGTGCGGGGCCGGGGAATAACTGTTAGAGGAACAGAAAGGTTTTCACGCCCGCGCAGGGCAGGGTGGGAGACCATTAAAACCAGATCGGTGTCTTGGGCTGGATTCAAGCCCCCTTGTGAAACAGAAATTGTGTCTAGAACAGGTGTGCTGTTTCTAGTCCCCTCTCCCAGGTAGCTGCTCCTCACAGAGCAGGAACTGGCTAGCAAGCCCTGCCAGGAGGGGCCCCCATTCAATCTGGGGGTACAGACAGGGCGTGGGAGTCAGGGCTTGGGAATCCAGCGGCCTCCTCTTGCTGCTTATAAGCCTCTCTCCTCCACAGCCCCAGCGTGTCCCTCTCCAACGGGGACGATGGTCCCATGTTTAACAGTGGAGGTAAGGATGAAAAGACAGAATGAAGAGTCAGAGGGTGGTGCAGTGCTAAAACGTGAAGCTCGGTGAGGCACTACTGAAACATGGGATGTTGCCGGTTCAAGCCTGGAGACCTCCCCGAGGCGGCGGCACACATGTGCCCGTGATCTGGGCTGGCTGAGGCTGGAGGTGGATTGCAATGTCAGGACCCTGTTGGGGGTGCTATGGCTGGCTGGCTGTCTCTCCCTGTCTTTCTGTTTGATGGAAGAAATGATAAATAAGTACGGGAGAACTCTGAAACCATTAACACAGAGCTGGGCCCACCGAGAGCATGCAAAAAGCGGCAAAATGGACTAAGGGAAGGTTAAACACTGGGACGACACGTGGGCAGGGTAAGGGTAACTGCCCCTCGGGAACAGCAGGTGGCGTGGTTGTTAAGGTTCTGGACACTCCCACATGGCCGACCATGGTTCAAGTCCTCGACCTGGTGGCTTGCTTTCTCACTTTCCCTCTCTCTCTCTCTGGTCAAATTAAAATACATGAATGAAGAAGTAAAATAAATAATTTTTAAAACTTAAAAAAAAAAAAAAACAACACAGAACTATCCCAAGAAAGTGTTTAGCTGCCTGCATTTTATTCCTGGTCCTCAGAGCCACTGAATGGTCCCAGTTTAAGACCGGAATCCCACTTTGCTGATGAGAAAGAGAGGGCCACCTGCCTCTGTCTATCTGCAAATGGCCAAGTCCCAGAGATGGCACCTGGTGTCCACAGACCAAGTCCCCACTCGCCGAGGCCTGGGGATGCTCAGCCTGGCTCGCCGTGTATGCTGGAATTCTAGGGGTGATTTCACCTGAATCAAGGTTTTCTCTGGAGACAGAAACCCCTTGGCCACACCACAGCCATCAGTGATCACGAACACTGTGAGAGCCCACAGGACGGGGCAGTGGTGTTCCAGAAACTTACTAACGGTGTCTTAGAGGAGGGGCCGGTCACTGTCAGAGCCACCCCCACTTACCAAATGTCAGGGCTCCTTGCCCCCAGCCCCTGTGGGTAGGTGGACTTAGGTGAAGCCATGTGACCAGACCTGGCCTATGAGGTGTTTGCAGAAGCCTCAGCATGGCTCTTGGCTCTCTCATCCCCTGCCATGGGGAAACCTGGGCCCTGAGCGACTGTGTGGAGCACAGCCTTCCACTGACGCCCGCTGAATGTATATACCTGCTGTGGGCGTGGTGGGCGTGGTGCATGCTCAGGCCTGGGGGTTTAGCTGTTACGCAGCATATATAGTCCACCCTGACTGGTGACAAGCAGTTTGGCCCCACGGCTGTGGTGCAAGTCAGGGGGAGGGAGCACCGTTAAATAGTAGTTACACAGGAAGGCGCCACACTGCATAGGCTGCAAGGGAGGTCTGGGTTTGGATCCCAGAGCAACCTGAACAGGTAAGGCAAGGCGGCACACACCCCTGGTCCTGGCTAGCTGGGAGGCCAGGGCATGAGGATCGTGACATGGCAAGATCCTCTCTCTCATATGAAAAAAAAAAAAGGGGGGGGGGAGACCAGCAGTTGGTGTAATGGCTATGTTGCTGGACTTCCATGTAGTCGACTGCAGTTCTAGTCCCGGACCTCGTGGCTTAAACTCACACCGGGTGCATGTGCATGCGTGCCCAAGAACTCGACAGGAGAATGGAGGAGGAGGGATTATGGCATGGCCATTCCCCCTGGGGGGTGATTTCTCACTTTCTGTCTCTCTTTTGCTATAGGCACATGTGCCCTATAGCAAAAACCTCTCAAAAACAAACAAACAAACAAACAAAAAAAGGGAAGCATTTCAGGAGGGCTGGAGCCAATCACAATTAAAGAGCTGAAGGGCAAAAAGACAGGCTGGCAGAACGGCTATACCTGGGGAGAGGGCTCGCCTAGGTGGGGCTTGGAACCCGGGTCTGGTTTGGTTGACGTGATGTCCCTTTAGTCACCAAGCACCTGCTGCGTGCCAGGCCCTTTGTGAGGCAGCTCAGGACGTCTGGTCAAGTCCAGCCCTGCTTCCTGAAGGCCATTAGCCCTGAACTGCAATTCCGATTTTTAGTGACAACAAGGAGAAAAGTTAAGGTGACTGGCCCCTTCAGACCAGGGCCGGCACACCTCGGCCCACAGCTGGCCTGGCCTGTTTTTTTTTGGAAATACAGTTCTACTGGGATACAGCTCGCTCACTCCTTCCGTCGTCTAAGGCTGCTCTCAAGCCATGATGGCACAGCTGAGCAGCTATGACAGGGACGGGAGGGCCCATGACACTGAAGGCATTCACCCTCGGTCTTTTATATTTTTTAAAGCTTATTTCTTTTTTCTAGGACAGAGAGAGAGAGCACCCCAACAGGGTCGAGGTGCCACAATGCACCCCAGTCCCATCCAGTTCCAGATCATGTTTTTGCATGGTTCTGGCGTGCTCAGGGAGGTCTCCAGACGTGAACCTGGAACCTCCCCACGTGGGCCAGCCTCTCAGAGTGTCTTATTTTACTGCTGTGCCACCATCTGGCCCCTGCTCTCCTGCTCGTCACAGAAAGTTCTAGGCAGACCTCATCTGCACCCCAGCCCCGCTCATCCCCGAGGCCTCCCCCATCCCTGTTCTCCCATCTCAGAGCCTCCTCCCTGCCACGAAGTCCTAGAAATCGCTGCACCCTGAAAACCCAGCGTCTACCTCCTCACTCTGAGTTATTTGTTTTCCTTAATCAGGTACTTACGGGGGCACTTAGGAGAGGCCGGAGAAGATCCGAGTCAATTGGTAATTAGGGAGGTTTGCAGAAAGCCTCATTAGGCTCTCCACCTCTCCCTCCCCGGTGTCATTTACCTGAGGGGCCTAATGAGCGATTGTTTGCAGGGAGCTCCAGCTTAGCAGCGGGGCCTAGCAGCCCTGGCTGGCTTCTCGGGGTAGTGGCTGGGGAGAGGGGAAACCTGCTTTCCTGCCCTGGCCCGCCAGTGACTGCACAGGGTGCCCAGAAGGAAGAGGTGCCCGGTTCTCCCCACCACATGCACACACAGCACAGGGCCAGGAGGGTGGCAGCCTGTGGTCACGGGTGCGGAAGCCTGCCATCAGAAACCTGCTCCGATGGGTGACTGGGGAGAGAGAGGAGCCAGGGGCCAGTGAGTTAAAAGGAAGAGAAAGCAAATGGGGGGGAGGGGGCTGCCATAGCATGCATGCTCGGATTATTATTTCTGAAGTGAAACTCGAGAAACGGCCGCAGAGGCACCCTTGGGGAGAGGACGGAGGGCTAGAACCTGGGTCCTGGCGTCCACTCTCTCTGCCCTGGGCCCTCTGTCACTGCCCCGGCTGTAGCAGTCCACCGCTCCCCCAGCCCCGTACAGCCCCCCATGGCACAGGACTCTGGTGGACACACACGGGTGGCTGCAGTAGCACATGTGCATGGACATCCCCTCCCCTGTCCTGTTCCCCCTGCTTGCTGGGGTCACCTGCTGATTCACTGCCCATGTGCAGTCCTCTCGAGCTCTGGTTTGGGGAGGGCCGCATTCAGATGGACGCAGCATTCAACCCATCTCCTTTTACTGCTCTCACACCACCTGCGTGTTTTCTATAGAAACAATCACACACTTGGAGCTTGTCCCACGGCACAGTGGTTAAGTACTGTGCAGAGGAAGCGGGATCCCACACGGTCGACCGCGGTTCAAATCCTGGCCCCGGCAGCAACACCCCCGATGTGCGCATGCACGCTCAGAATACCCTCGTGGGACGGAGAACTGCAAGAACAACCGTGGCAGACCAGGCTTGCTGGGGGTGCTTTCTCTCTATATGTATGTACGCTCTCTATCATTAATAAAAGAAATACCTTTTTTTTTTTTTAAGAGAGATTTTTTGCTATAGGGCGCATGCACTTGCCAAAGATATAGAGAGACAGAAAGCGAGAAATTACCCACTACCCCAGGGGATGCCATGCCACAATCCCTTCTCCTCTATTCTCTCGGGATTTGGAGCATGCATGCACATGTACCCATTGTGAGTTTCAAGCTGCTGGGTTCAGGACTCGAACTGTGGCTGGCTACGTGGGAGTCTGGCAACATGACCATTACGCCATCTGCTGGTCTCCAAGAAAATAACAATTAAAAAAAATGTATCTTATGATTATATATATATTGGATCATTGGGGAAGTCATGACACATTTTTGGATAGAAAAACACGTTATGACTTTCACGATGACCTAATTTCTTGTGGGGAGGAAGACCCAAATATAGGTGCGTGGCTGGTTCATTCCTTCTTTCTGAGAATTTACTGCTAAGAAGACAATGTTCTGCCTTGATCTACATATCCATGGTGCCTGATAGAACCACTTATTTCCCTCATTGCCCTGGCTGCCAGAGAGCTCAGGCTACCACCAGTACCCCACTGCAGGAACCCCCCTTGGCCTCACTTACTAGCACAAAAGCCACCTTCCTGACCCCACTTGCTGCAGCCCCATCTGCTCCTTTCCCAGATGCCCTGTGCAGGGCACCGTGGAGACTCCTGTGGGCAGGCTGGTGGGTGAGCAGAGAGAAGGGCTGGGCTATCTCTTCCCGGGCAGGTGCTCTGCCCTCGACAACAGAGGCCCCCCCCAGGCATCTCCTCCCACCCAACCCCACCCCACGCTTGCCCAGTGGCAGTTCTGGCTTGACCTCCCGAACACAAACACACCCCGAGGCTGTATCCCCCAGCCTCAGGGGCAGTGACCAGGGCTGCCAGATACAATCCAGGACCCTGGCGAAGTACGCTTTTCAGATAAAGAACAAATACGCATTGCACGTGCGTCCAAATATCGTATGGGGCATATACTTACAGTAACATTTCATTAAAAACACGTAGCTGGAATGCACACTGGGCACTCCACGTTTTCTAGAAAGGTCCTGAATCTGATCCCCTCCCACCAAGAGACAGATTTCTTTTTTTGTCTGTTTTGTTTTTAAATAAGGTCTTTGTCGTACGGTGCATGTGCTTGCTGGAGAGAGAGAGAGACCAAGAGAGAATAAGAGAAACAGAGAGATAGAAAGTAAGAAATCACTCCCCAGGGGGGTGGCCACACCGCAATCCCTTCTCCAGTCTCCTCTTAGGATTGTGGGCACACCCGCACATGCACCCAACGTGATTTTCAAGTCGCTGGGTCTGGACTCAAACCACGGTCAGTTATATGGGAGTCCAGCGCCTTAACTACCATGCCACATGCTGGCCCTGAGAGACAGATTTCTCCTGGTGTTGGTCTCTGGGTGCCCTGAGAGAACCCCCAAAGCCTACTCTTTCCAGTGGCCATAGCATGCATGCTCGGATTATTATTTCTGAAGTGAAACTCGAGAAACGGCCGCAGAGGCACCCTTGGGGAGAGGACGGAGGGCTAGAACCTGGGTCCTGGCGTCCACTCTCTCTGCCCTGGGCCCTCTGTCACTGCCCCGGCTGTAGCAGTCCACCGCTCCCCCAGCCCCGTACAGCCCCCCATGGCACAGGACTCTGGTGGACACACACGGGTGGCTGCAGTAGCACATGTGCATGGACATCCCCTCCCCTGTCCTGTTCCCCCTGCTTGCTGGGGTCACCTGCTGATTCACTGCCCATGTGCAGTCCTCTCGAGCTCTGGTTTGGGGAGGGCCGCATTCAGATGGACGCAGCATTCAACCCATCTCCTTTTACTGCTCTCACACCACCTGCGTGTTTTCTATAGAAACAATCACACACTTGGAGCTTGTCCCACGGCACAGTGGTTCAGTACTGTGCAGAGGAAGCGGGATCCCACACGGTCGACCGCGGTTCAAATCCTGGCCCCGGCAGCAACACCCCCGATGTGCGCATGCACGCTCAGAATACCCTCGTGGGACGGAGAACTGCAAGAACAACCGTGGCAGACCAGGCTTGCTGGGGGTGCTTTCTCTCTATATGTATGTACGCTCTCTATCATTAATAAAAGAAATACCTTTTTTTTTTTTTAAGAGAGATTTTTTGCTGGCTACGTGGGAGTCTGGCAACATGACCATTACGCCATCTGCTGGTCTCCAAGAAAATAACAATTTTAAAAAATGTATCTTATGATTATATATATATATTGGATCATTGGGGAAGTCATGAAAAAAAATGTATCTTATGATTATATATATATTGGATCATTGGGGAAGTCATGACACATTTTTGGATAGAAAAACACGTTATGACTTTCACGATGACCTAATTTCTTGTGGGGAGGAAGACCCAAATATAGGTGCGTGGCTGGTTCATTCCTTCTTTCTGAGAATTTACTGCTAAGAAGACAATGTTCTGCCTTGATCTACATATCCATGGTGCCTGATAGAACCACTTATTTCCCTCATTGCCCTGGCTGCCAGAGAGCTCAGGCTACCACCAGTACCCCACTGCAGGAACCCCCCTTGGCCTCACTTACTAGCACAAAAGCCACCTTCCTGACCCCACTTGCTGCAGCCCCATCTGCTCCTTTCCCAGATGCCCTGTGCAGGGCACCGTGGAGACTCCTGTGGGCAGGCTGGTGGGTGAGCAGAGAGAAGGGCTGGGCTATCTCTTCCCGGGCAGGTGCTCTGCCCTCGACAACAGAGGCCCCCCCCAGGCATCTCCTCCCACCCAACCCCACCCCACGCTTGCCCAGTGGCAGTTCTGGCTTGACCTCCCGAACACAAACACACCCCGAGGCTGTATCCCCCAGCCTCAGGGGCAGTGACCAGGGCTGCCAGATACAATCCAGGACCCTGGCGAAGTACGCTTTTCAGATAAAGAACAAATACGCATTGCACGTGCGTCCAAATATCGTATGGGGCATATACTTACAGTAACATTTCATTAAAAACACGTAGCTGGAATGCACACTGGGCACTCCACGTTTTCTAGAAAGGTCCTGAATCTGATCCCCTCCCACCAAGAGACAGATTTCTTTTTTTGTCTGTTTTGTTTTTAAATAAGGTCTTTGTCGTACGGTGCATGTGCTTGCTGGAGAGAGAGAGAGACCAAGAGAGAATGAGAGAAACAGAGAGATAGAAAGTAAGAAATCACTCCCCAGGGGGGTGGCCACACCGCAATCCCTTCTCCAGTCTCCTCTTAGGATTGTGGGCACACCCGCACATGCACCCAACGTGATTTTCAAGTCGCTGGGTCTGGACTCAAACCACGGTCAGTTATATGGGAGTCCAGCGCCTTAACTACCATGCCACATGCTGGCCCTGAGAGACAGATTTCTCCTGGTGTTGGTCTCTGGGTGCCCTGAGAGACCCCCCAAAGCCTACTCTTCCCCGTGGGTGTGGCAACCCTGCCACAGCTGTAAGGACACCACCCACGAGGGCATTCCAAGCAGTGGCCTGAGTTGTTTCCAGCTGTGAGCCCACAGGACACATGGGCTCGAGCTCTGTCAGCCTTCTGAGCACGTGAGCATCTCTCACGCACCCTGCTCCTTGGGAAGGAGGATGCGACTGCTGTCACGGGCAGACTGGGTGGACCCCCTGGCTGTTCCCTGCCTCAGCCTCTGCAAGGCTAGGTCAAAAGGTCCTCTTCCCAGGCACCATAGATCCTGCTGCCCTGTGGCCATCCTGCAGTGGGACCCCCGAGGCCAGCTGATTCTCTATTTCCACACCTGCAGGCTGCCTTCCGGATGCGGGGGCTGTACTGGTCTTACCCACCAGTGAATTTCCCATGCCCATACCATGAGCTCAGTAATGTGATGACTAGAATGAATGAATGAATGAGGGTAGAAATCAGGCCCAGTCTTGGCAGCAGAGGTGGCAGCGTGCTGATCTGGAAGCCACGTGGCTGACCACGGGTTCGGGTCTCAAGTCAATGTGAACAGTGCCAGGTGTGCCCAAGATCCTGAGTAGGCACAGGCTGGGGGGAGCCCAGGTGCCTCTCTCTCTCTCCCTCTCATAAAAGAAATATTGGGGTGTCGGACAGGTCATCACGTGTTTTTCTACGTAAAAATGCATCATGACTTTTCAGATGACCCAATAGAAACTAAACACAAAAAAAGAAGAAAAACCCAGAAACACAGACCATGGGGCCCTCTCTGCCTCGCCCCCATCCGGAAACACTGTCTGTCACCCACTGGTAAGTCCTGGCCCACTGACAGAAGCACCTGCGTCACATGCTGGATGCCCCCGGCGCCCCGCTTTGCCTCCTTGCTTATGCAAGGCTCCCCTGGCTGGGGCGCTGCTCTGAGGCAACGCGGAGGCAGGAGGAGGGCGCGGACGCTTATAGTCTCGGATTCCCCGCCCAGCCCCGATAATGACTTTTCTCCAACAAGTTCTGCGGCAGCAGCGGCTGTGGGGCAGCGTTAGAACCGGAGACAGGTACAGTTGCCATGATACGGCCGTCGCGGTAATTCAGCCTCAGAGTACGGTTCCCTCGGAATAATGTAACGATCTGTCATGGGAAGGGAGGAAGGAGGATGATTGCTGTGCGGCTGAATTTCTCCACCTCCAAAATATCATCTAAGTTCCCGGAGCCGGAGGAGGCCCCCGGTTGGAGGGATGGAAGAGTGAGAACATTTTTGACCAGGGCCCAGGTGGGAAGGCCTGGCTTATCTACTTTTGTGGAAAGGAAGCGAGTGAATTGGAAACCCTGCAGGAGGTCGCCTCTAAGCCCTGTCTTCTTCTGGCTGCTGGTCCCCTTCCTGTTGCATCCAGAACTCGTCCTGGCTTTCTTTAAAGAGGTGGCTTGTAGCAGCCTTCGACCATCCTCCTGTGTCCCTCCCTCCCTCCCTCCTACCCCAGGAGCCCCTGGCATGGACAAAGCTGAAACTGGGCCCAGAGAAGGAGGGCAGAAT